GGGAAGGAGGGCTCAGACAACTTCCCAGACTAATAAGTCAGACCGCCCCAGAGGCTGTGACCCTGAGAAGACGTTATCTAGCCAGCCCTGGCTAGACCTTCTGCCCGTCACACTCCACTCCCCCCATGGACCACGGACCTGGGCTGCCATGACAGTCTCCCTTCCTCAGTTGCCTTGGACGGTAAAGCAAACCCTCCTGGCAGAAGACACAGGCGCCCTTTGACCTCGCCCAATGAGCACCCCATCTGAGTGCAGTCTCACCTTCCCCTGAGGTGGCAGGTAGCACGGGGGTCTCGTGGGAATGGTCTGGAATTGCCGCCTCCACATCTACAGTGGGCCGAATAGCGTCCCCCCCCACCCCCAATTCAGAACCACTTGGATCCTCAGAATGTGACCCTCTTGGAAACAGCATCTTTGCAGATGTAAATAGCTAAGATAAGGTCATGCCGGAGTAGGGGGGGGCCCTGAATCCAATGGCTGGTGTCCCAATAAAATGAGGCCATGTGATGACGGAGGCAGAGATGGAGTGATGCGTCCACAGCGAGGACAGTCATCAACCAGCCGAAGCCAGGAGGGAGGCCTGGGAAGGGTTCTCCTTGGAAGACCCAACCCTGGGCACCTTGATTTTGGACATCTGGCCTCTGGAACTGTGAGAGATTACATTCTGTTGGTTTAAGCACCCGGTTGGTGGTCATTTACTCCAACAGCCCAAGGGACTGAACACACCGTCCTTCCTGCTCCTCTTCTGAGCCTCCCCCCACCCCAACCCTGACGACTTCTGTCAAGGTCACCGGTCATGGCCTTGTTGCCAAAGCTGATGGACAATTCTCCGCCGTCACCATACTGGACCTCGTCCTTCCTCAAGTCCTTCCTTCACTTGTTGTCCAGGATACCACTCACCTCCCAAGCCCCACGGCCACTCCGCCTCCTCACCCCTCTGTCCACCTGACCCCAAAACACTGACGCGCCCCAGGGCTCCGCCTCAGCCCTGCCCGCTCACTCCCTGGGTGAGCTCAACCCGGGGTCCCAGCGTCACACACCGTCCAGCCGCGGATGACTGTCCCACCGACTGTCTAGACTGGCAGAGCCATCTAGATGTGTGCAGTGAGCACCTCAAGCTCAACTTCCCTACTCTGGCCAAAGCCCCGGTCCCCTTTCCCCTGGACAACTGTCATGGCTCGTCCCTGGCCTTCCAGGGGCCACTGTCGCCTCCATCGTTCATTTCTACGCAGCAGCCAGAGTGGTCCTTCCCTAGAAGGAGAGTGTGAGGTGCTCTGTTGGTACGGAACCGAGGTGTCGGTGAACGGGCCGAGGCTGGCACTTATCCTATTCTGTGTGTGTGTGTCCGGCTGTTGGCGTTCTACCAGCCTCATGGGTCTTCCTATCTGCATCCTCCAAAGTCAACTGGTTGCGCAGAATGGGGCCCATTCATGACGGACTGGGACTGGGGGAGCCGAGAAGGCAAAAGGGCGTCCGGATATTGCCTGGCACCAAAACCCAGGAACCAAAGAGTTCGTGGGACTGATCGCAGCTGCACACTCACAAGCCGGCTCAACTTTTTACTCGGACCTTGTCCTCTTGCCTTTAAATTTCCCCGACTCTCCCTTCAGGGAGGCGGATTTGAGGCCTGCCCTCCCGTCTCCTTGTCTGACTGCCTCTCGAGTAAACCCTTTCCTTGCCGCATCCTGGATGTCCCAGGGATGGTCTTCAATGCCCAACCGGGGAGGCAAACTTGGCTTTGGCTACAGCATGGCATTTCAGGGGAGGGAGGGGTCCTCATCATTAGTCAAGAGAACCCAAGGTAGGCTCCAGCCACCTGGTACTTGGGGGTCTCCACCCGAGACCCGGCTCACAAATGCAACTCTCAACAACACATTCCAACGCCCGCTCCCCACTCCCCTCAAGCCCTGTACGTTTCCCCAACAAGAAAAGTTACAGAAGCATCCGACTTCCCACCTGAGGCAGAGCTGACAGGGCATCCCCTTTACAAGACGCCCGTCTGGGCCTCCAGGACTGTTTTGGGCCTCGCCCTGACTCAGCAGAGGAACAGTTCGGGCTGAGTGTGCCCTGACTTGCCAGGGTGAACAGGCTAGTCCCCTCCGGGCCACTCAGGGGTCTGTGTTCTATATTAGAGCTGGCCACGGGAACAGGGGAGCCCTGCAAACACACAACACTGATGGACCTGTTCCTGGAGGGCACCGGGGGGCTGGACAGCTTTATGGAGACCAATAGCCCCAGTGGCCTGGCGACAACACAGGGGGCCCAGCAATTCATTCATCTGTCTGGCTGCACAGAATGGGCATGGAACGATCTGGGGCTGTGTTCATTCTTCTGCCAGGGCCAGGGCTCCTGAGATCCTAGGTCCTGGGCAGGATGTGCCTGGTTCTCCCAATCCCTGTCTTTCCCGGCCCAGGGCAGATGTGGCTGTAGACTGTCTACTACCATCACCTGGGGAGACAGACTCACAGAACTTGCTCTCCTGGTTCCCTAGACCAGGTCTGAGATAACATCCTGAGGGGAGGTCACCTGCTGGACGCACACCTGACTGCTCCTGCCAAGAGTCCCGTGACCTAGGGGTACTGGGTTGCGCAGGTGAGTTCATTGCCATCACCCAGCCAAAGCCAGGGGCAAGGAGCGAGGGAAAGAGGCGGTGGAGACTTCCAAAGAGAAGTGTTTAAAACTTGCCTCTGCCTTATGTCCCTGGATATTTTCTCTGGTATCTTCCAAGGCTGAAGTAGGGAAGGGACATGGGAGAAGCTGAAGGTTTGGAGGCAGCATGACCAGAGTCAGCGTTTGTGCTTCTGACCCCAGCAGGGGCTTCCCCGACTGCTCACCTGGCCTAAGGGTGGGGTTAGATCTCGGGGTGCCAGGCCAAACTTGCCCCTTAAAAATGGTCGGCACATGGGCAGGCAAGGCTTTCTGTATCGCCCCCTTTCCAAGGTGGGGTTTGCAGATGGTGGAAGGGACCCATGAAAGAGGGAGGGCCAAGCATGGGGATGGACAGTTCTGGAACTCTGGGACCTCCTGCCACCATGGGGTCCCAGCCACAAAGCCACCCACGGAACCCTCTACTTCCTAAACCAGGAGGACAGTGTGGCTACATGTGGGCTATTTAACATGTGGTCTGAGAAAGGCCACTACCTTTTCCAAAGGACCTGTGGGAATCACTGCTGATTCAGCCTCCTTCTAATCCACATGATCCTCCCCCAAAGGCCTCCTGACATCCTGATTGAACAAATCCCTCCAGGGGACTATGTCCTGAAGGAGCCAACTCAGAAGACCCCAGCACCAGAAGAGAGTGACCCTACACCTGTTTAATGAGAAACAGAGAACACTGGTTTTCATTTCTGTAAGAGGTCCTCATACTCCGAAGACTGCAAACCCTAGCTCAATAATAAACCCCCAGCTACTGTGCCAGATTTTGGTCAACTGCAGGTCAAAACTGGAGACAGACCAACCAGAAAAAAAGAGCATCTATTCATGCATGCATGCATCCATCCATTCATCCAACCATCCACTCATCCATTTATCCATCCATCCATCTATCCATCCATCCATCCATTCACTCATCCATCCATCCATCCACCCACCCATCCATCCATCCATCCATCCATCCACCCACCTATCCATCATCCATCCACCCATCCATCATCCATCCATCATCCATCTGCCCATCCATCTATCCACCCATCCACCCATCCATCCACTCATTCATCCCTCCACCCATCCATCATCCATCCAT